TGCGACACTGGCGTACCTGCGCAGCCGGGGCCAGCCCTGACCTGCCCCTCTCTCTCCCCAGTTCGTAGAAAGCGACGATGATGAGGAGCTTCTCTTTAACATCCCGTAAGTTCTTTCCTTGAGCTCCTTTGGTATCGTTCTGGCTGCTGACAGGGCTTGGTCCTCGCCTTTATGTGCCTGGGAATGGGGCACGCCTGTGTGCTCCGGTAACCGGGGCTGATTTGGGGAGAATGGAGCTGAAAACGCCACTTCTGTGTCTCTCGGCAGGTTTACGGGCAACGTGAAATTAAAAGGGGTAATTGTGATGGGAGAAGATGACAGCACGCATCCGGCAGAGATGAGACTGTAAGTAAAATGAGCGTTAACTTTGCTGGAGCCTAAACTGAACTGATTGACTCGTAGCTGACGAGAACAGTGATATCTCATGCTGTTGAGTGCCCAAGCACCCATCGAGGGTGCGCAGTGTGGGAGAAAGCGGTGTTACTCTGCAGCACCTCAGTCATTCCAGGGCCCCAGGAGGAAAAAGAAACCGTAACTTGTACAGGGATGTGCATGGCTACTTGCTGCCTTTTCTCTAGAGAAGTGGGGCGCTGATCTTAATTAGGAGAGAGTGGTTGATTGAGACGCTGGCTGTGCGTTGTGAAGAAACCGACCTGCTACTGGCCTAGCGGGCTGCAGCAGGATCAGTGGGCCAAGAGAGGTTACGCTTTGGAGGGGAGCTCTGAGGAGTGGGAAGGAGGGACACAAGTGATGGAGTGTCCTGCAGCCAGGTGAGGTTTGTAAGGCTCTTGGCAGCGATCCTGCTGTACTGAGCCACGTGGCCTGTTCTAGCTCCTGGAGGGAGAGACGTCCTTCTTAATACTGCTTTTTTTTGTTGTTTTTTTAATGAAAGAGTATTCAGTACTCTCTAGTTCTTGCTTGTGGGGGGAAAATTACACCTTTATCAAGCCACCATTGTCCTCTGTGTTCCACACACACGGATGTGAAGCACTGTCAGGGCTTGCACCACACATGGAAACAGCAGGCGGCTGGGCCTGTTGTTGAGCTGTGCCCCTCCTTTGTCTTCCTGAGCAAAAATGCCAGTGCTGAATTTGGCTGTAGCTGTAATTAGCTGCTGTAATTATCTGGTACCCAGCTTTCTGCTGGGCCAGCTGTTCCCCTGTTTTCCTTTGGTCTCCAATGTCTGGGTTTCTTCATGTACCCAAGCGTGCTGAGATCTGTATCTCCTCAGCTTTGTTCCTCGCTTTCTTCCTTGTTATTTCTTCAGGGTGTTGGGTATTCTGGAACATGATGATGCTTTGTGGTGGCATTGGTATTTTCTCCCTTAGAAGACAAAGCAAATCGAGTTTCTTACTGTTGAAAAGAATCTGGGTAGTGCTAATGGATGGGGAGGAAACCAATTAGCTGACCTGTGTGTTAATAACTTCCTGAGTTTCCTCCCTCTCTTCCCAGGTTCAGGAACATTCCTCACATGTCCTTTGATGATGCAGCCAGGGAACCGGACCAGACGTTCAGCCTGAACCGGGATCCGATAGGCGAGCTGGAGTACCCCACCAAGTACGATGTGGACCTACGGTGCCTGGGAGTGTGTGGCAGGGCTGCTCCTCCTGAGCACAGGACCTGCGTTCTATCCAGCCTGTTGGTGTGCCACCAAATTTTAGGAAAGTGTTAGCAGAGGGCACTTCCTTCCCTTGCACCTCAAGGCTTGCCCACAGTAGAATTTGCCTCCCCGGCCATGTCCTGCCCTTGTCGGGCAAGAGCTCTGGTCTGAAAACCTCCTCCCCGGAGCCTGCACCCATGGCTCAGGCCTTCTCAGGGTGCCGAATCATCCCAGTGTCGTGTCCCCTGCTCCTGGCCCCAGTGACAGCTTGTTGCTGGCCTGCTCACTGCAAGTGTGAGGGAGGCTGCTCCTCCTGCACCCTCAGTCATTTGCTGCCCAGTCTGACTTGAATTAGGGTAGGAGCTATGCATGGTGCAGAGCTGTGGTGCTGTGCTGAGCGGAGGGGGCAATGCAGCAGAGTGGCAGCCTGTACAGACAGCTCCGGTTTCAGAGTGTGTTTTCTTTCAGAATTGCCCGTTTCTCCAATGTTTACCACCTCTCCATCCACTTTCCGAAGAACTTTGGAGCTGAGACAACAAAGATTTTTTACATAGGCCTGAAAGGAGAGTGGACAGAGGTAGGTGAGAGCAGAGATAGGTGAGACTGTGCTAATAGTGTAAAAAGTGCTTTAAATCCTAGCTTAACTTGAGCTCTAGCAGTGAGGAAGAAGAGGTGAGGGTAGTGTGAGGGGTGGGGATGGAAGGTCTGTGATGAAAAGCCTGTAGGATGGGAACCTGCTCAGCTCTTGCCAGTCAAGTGATTTAGGAGGGACTTCGAATTCTGCTCTCCTCTGGACTAACACGTTTAATCTTAATTCAGGCTCATCGCCACGAAGTCACCATCTGCAATTACGAAGCATCAGCAAACCCAGCTGATCACAAGTTGGAACAAATCACCCCACAGACTCACTTCATCTCCTAACAGTGCTGTCGGGAATCTCCCGAAGGCTCTGGTACAAGTGTACAGACGTGATGGGCTGACTTGGACAGAAATGGCTTTCTGAAGCACTGGAGAGTGTTGGATCAGCTTTACGTTTTGGTCTTTGCCTTGGAAAGCAGAGTGCGGAGTGTGTGCAATGCCTGTACGAAGGTGGCTGCTGAGGACAGCAGTGTGTTGGGTCCTGCAGAAGGCAGCAGATCTGCTCTCGTAACGGGAGACTCGGTCTTTAGGCAGTGGCAAGCTCGTGTCTGCTATCGTTCCCTGCCAATAAAACACACGCTGAGGTGCAGAGCTGCAGCTGTGGCCTGGTCACCCAGATCCCTGTCCCTGAATGTGGGTTACAGCCTGCGTGTGGAGCCGGCGGGTGCGGGGGTGAGCGAGCAGCGACGGCGGGGACGGCTGCGGGCCGCAGCTGTCACCGGAGTGTTCCTGGCGGGGA